AAAGAGGAGAATCAAAGGAAGGTTCTGGATTGCCTATCTTCAGACTAGCCTAGACTCACTAAATACCCTTTCCTCTACTTTCTACATTTTAGTAAATTGTTCTGTCTCTTTCCACATTGAGATTTGATTAAGACCTACTGGCCAATCAGCTGTTATTAAGTTGTGGGTTTTTGTTGTTTATTTGCCTGTTTGTTGGCTGGTTGATTTGTTTTTAGAATAAAGAAACACTAGTTCTAGAGAAATTAACCTCAGCAAATGAACATCCCACCCCCCACCCACCCCAGCCAGGAACAATACCAAAGGACATACTGATTTATGATAGTTAGCTCAGTGGATAAAGCATGAAACTCTTAATCTCATAATTATGGGATGCAGCCTCTGATTTTTTATTTTCAATGATGTCTTCAACCACTGACTTCCCTCAATTTCCATATTTTGGGAACCATGTGTTCACTCAAAAATAGTGGTTAATTGCCTAATATGTACCAAGCATGTCAAGTGAGATACACAAGGTCCTTCCAGAGCCAAAGTGTACAGGGAAGACATATGATTAAGTAGTAACAAAGTGAGGGTTTAGAGGCAGTGTTAAAGTATTAGAAATTACATATCATGTGGCCTGTGGTAGCCGGAGAAAGCCTTCTGAAACAGGTACATTGAGCTGATATCTGATGGCTGTGTCCAATTATGCAGGCAAAGAAAGCTTAATGGCCTGAAGGAAAACAAATGTGGTTCAATGAAGTGGAAAAAGTTTGACTTGGTCAAGTGCACAGGGATGTGGCAGGCCTTGTAACCCATCGAGATGAGTTTGGAGGGAGAAAAGACTCACACATGTTAAATACCAGAGGAAGAAACCAGTAGAGAGTAAGAGATTGCAAATGAAAGAGAGAGAGGATTCCCTGATCCTGCATTATTTGGGAGAAGGTGCACACCTCATTTCAGGTCCCAGTGATCAGTTATTTAAAACCCCTGAGCCTCTGTGTCATTGTAAACTGAAAATCCTGTGCTTACAGGAATTATAAGTGACAAATGTAAAGTACTCAGAGCAATATCTGAAATGTAATACTCACTCTGGTGGTTAGTCATGTTAACGGTCTTCCTATTGTTCTCAAATAAATTTGAGGTGGGGGTGGACAGATGGGAGAAACAGAAAAGATTAAAGGAGCATTTACATGACAAAATTAGTAGTGTTCGTTTCAACTCATGACTTGCAGATACTCAGGTTGTTTTCCTTTCTTCACCAGCAACACATTGCATCTGGTATCTACCACCAAAACGGAAGTGATCCCACCTCTAATTGAAAACAGACAGTCCTGGTCAACCTGCAAGCCCCTATTTACTGGCATGAACTACTGCACCACCGGTGCTTACTCCAACGCCAGCTCCATAGACTCTGCCTCTTACTATCCACTGACTGGAGACACCAGGTAGAGATGCTCAATGCCTAGCCCAGTATCTGCTGTGTCACTAGCCTTAGAGGTTTATACCACCTCTTGGGTATTTAAAGCAGTGGTTTTCTGATCAGCACTTTAGATAGTCTTGTTCTATCTTGGGCTCTCAATGAGTAGATGACAGTATAGATTCTGATTTGCTCCTAATTTAGTATCTGTGTTTCTGAGCCTGCAGTCCCAGTGGTATTCTTCCTGGAGCCCACCTACATGCCCAGAGCATTTGCCATGCTTACAGCCCCTTCGTCTCCAGCTCTTGTTTCCACTGCTTGGTTTTAGCTTTGTTAGCACAGCTAGCCAGTTCCCTACTCTGCTTGTCCAAGGCCCAGGAATCCTGGAATCTGCCATTGCCTTGGGCTGTTGAGGGGACTAAAGGGATCATAAAGATTATCCTTGGTTAAGAGCAAGAGACAGGGACCAGCAATTGGCATAATAGCTATGTCACTGGACTCCCATGTAGTCAACCACAGTTCAAATCCCAGACCTGGTGGCTTAAACTCACACCAGGCGTGTGTGCGTGTGTGCCCAAGATCCTGAGAGGAGAATGGAGGAGAAGGGATTGCAGCGTGGCCATCCCCCTGGGGGTGTGGGGGGGTGATTTCTCGCTTTCTGTCTCTCTGTCTCTGTCTTTCTGGTGAACACACACACCCTATAGCAAAAACCTCTCCAAAAATAAAAAAAAAAAAAGCAAAAGACAGTATTAAAATAAGAACCACCTTTTTGTTGCACTTGAGACTGAATTACTTGGGGTTGTCATCACCATCTTCAAAAACTCTAACATTATGCACTGTTTGCATCACATCTCTAGATTTGAGCTGGAACTGAAACCCACAGGAGAGATAGAGCACTATTCTGCCAGCGCAACCTATGAACTCCAGAGAGAGGACAGAGGCTTGGTGGACACGCTGAAGTTTGTAGCTCGGGCAGAAGGTGAGTGTCCAGGAAAGGGCTTCCTTGTCTCTGCCTTTGGTTCAGTCTCAGGACTCACAAGGAGAACACATTTAATTTAACATGTTTAACAGGTGTATTTTAAGTTTATTTACTTTTTCAATGAGTGAGAGAGAGAGAGAGAGAAAGAGAGCACCCTCAACAGGGTCTTGGTGCTGTGAGCCACACCTAGCCTCAGCCAGCCCTGTATCATGGGCATGTGCATGCCCAGTACACTCAGGGAGGTCTTCAGGCACAAACTCAGAACCTTTCCACTTGGGTCAGCCTTGCAGAGCATTGTGTTATATCTCTGTGCTGCCATCTGGCCCTATATTTAACAAATATTGTCTGCTCAGGGTGCCAGGCCTGCTGTAAGAGCTAGTTAGAACTATGAAAATGGAGTTGCCGTTCCCTAAGGTGCTAAGGGGGACTAGGGTAGCATATTTAAGAGACCAGGCTCATCTAGGTGTTCACTTTGGAAGGTGTTTTTATGTAGCTACAGCATGTCACAAAATTTAACTAGAAACACACACACACACACACAGGAAAAAGCAGTGAGGGATATATACTGAAAAAACTATTGTTTCGTAAAAAAACAGTTTTACAAAGATATAAAATAAGTGAACCCATGAATTGAAGGAAACTTGGAAATCTTGTTACAAATGAAGCAGGAGTCAAGAAGAGGGGAGCCCAGGACCGGTGTGGCAAAGAACCAGACAGGTGTCTAGAGTAATACAGAGGTGTCATGTCTGCCTAAGCTAAAAGGACTTCAAGCCCTTCCTGTTGCCCGAATATGCAAATATTCTCCACTTCAGGACCTTTGAGTTTCTAGCCCTCTTCCTAGAAAGCTCTGCTCCCAGAACTTGACATGGCTCAGTGCCTCTCTCCATCCTGACCCTGACCTATAGATGCCCTTACTGGAGAGAACTTTTCTACTACCTCTTTCTTTGGGTCTCATATACTGTTTTACTTTTCTTCATAGCATCTGTTACCATCTGACATAGGTAATTTACTTGTTTATTGTCTGTATACCCCTTCCCACTAGAACATATGCTCTGTGAGGGAAAGCGCACCCCAGTGCCAAGAATAATGCCTAGTGTAGAATAGGCAATCAATAAGCAGTTGCAAATTAAATGACTATATGAACATCAATGAGTTAAACATTGAAGGTAATCCCGGACCACGTCCTCCTATCAGCATATCAAATACTTGGGTTTTCTCTGTCTTTTCTGCTCCTTTCTTCCAAAACATAATGCCTTATCACACATTTCTTTATTCACTTACATACTTTCAGGTGTGAAGCAGACTGAGGCTATTATGATGTTCAGATACAATCGAGAGAGGATGACTTTGTCCAGTGAAATCCAAATTCCAGATTTAGATGTTGACCTTGGAACAGTCCTCAGAATTAGTGATGATTCTGCTCAGGACAAAAAGTCTTATAAACTCACCCTGGACATTCAGAACAAGAAGATCACCGAGGTCACTCTCATGGGCCACATAAGGTAAGAACAGCTCAGAGTAATCTAACCAGAGCAGTGGATCTGGTAGCTCTTTCAATTCTTCTCCAGACTTTTTTTTTTTAACATCCAGTCACTGTGTATCATTACAGCATACCAAATGAATTTTCCCATCCTGAATGCACTATATATTGGTTTAATCAAAGATATTACCATACATATCATCAACAAATAATTTCCCATTTTTGTGTCCCTTAAATGTTTTTCTTCTTTCTTCTACTGACTCCTTCCCTCTCACCCTCCCGCATTGCCCACCCTCCTCCCACACTGTCTCTAGTATTTACAGTTCTTCTCCATGCCTTTATACCTTCCAGTCCTTCACTTTTTGCCATAAAGTGCAGGCATTCTTCTCTGGCTTTAAATCCAACCAAGGCACATGTGTCTCTGGTGTTCAATCTGAGTAACAGATACATCCTTCAACGTTTTGACCCTCTGTATATGACCAGTGGGTCTTGGGTGTTCAGTGGGTCTTCTACTGTTTATCAGGCACTTAGCATTCATTTGTCAAGCGTTGTGTTGATATGTTAAAGAAATTATGCCAAGGATCAGCCAATAGCATGGTGATTAAGGCAGCAGAATCCCACACGGCTGACTGTGCAGTCTCAGTGGCTTGAAAAACACACCAGGCATGTGTGCATACCTGCCACATGCAGGAGAACGAAATCCCAAGAAGAGAATGAAGAAGGGATCGCGGCATGGCATACCATCCTGGATCCAAAGTGGTTTCCCTCTGTGCCTCCATGCAAAGTCCTGAATTTGCATTTAATTTTAGCTTTAGCAGTTAATGAGTTTCCTCAAAGGTCATTCCTCTGAGTCATTTTTGTCTCATTTTTATCACCACAAATGGAATTTTTAACTGTCATTCTCCTTACCTCCTTGACATGGACAAAATCCTTAATGCCAACTGATTTCCTTTTCAATAGCTGTGACATGAAAGAAAAAGGCAAAATCAAAGGTGTTATTTCCATACCCCGTTTGCAAGCAGAAGCCAGAAGTGAGATCCTCATGCACTGGTCACCCATAAAAATGCTCCTCCAAATGTACTCGTCTGCTACCGCTTACGGCTCAACAATTTCCAAGAGGGTCGCGTGGCGTTATGGTATGTGCCTCTTCCTTGACGTGAGCTCCTCAGCTGTGCTCCAGTGCAGGTGTGGAGAGCCTCGCTACAGGCTGACCTAGCACCACTGACAACTAATCACATGTGCATTTTCAGATGAAGAGAAGATTGAATTTGAATGGAACACGGGCACCAACGTGGATACCAAAAAAGTGGCTTCCAATCTTCCTGTGGCTCTCTCTGATTATCCTAGAAGCTTGCAAATGTATGCCAGCAGTCTCTTGGACCACAGAATTCCTCAAACAGACATGACTTTCCGGCACATGGGCTCCAAGTTAATAGTTGTAAGTATAAATCAGCCAGCCGATGAATACTTGGTTATATTTACTCATTACATCTGCAGCTCTGAGTTAGCCACAGGAGTTTATCCAAAGGTGTATAAGGCATGCTTCCTGGTCCCAGGGAATTCCTGTGGGGGAGAGAAACATGCATGCATGTGTCGTTATCCAGTTATATGAAACTGTATGTGATAAATACCCAGCAAATTGTACCAAGCAGAAGAGTTGGCTGTGCCTAAAAGTATCAAAGGAAGTTTCAGGACATTGACTGGGCATCTATGTTATATTTCTTTCATAAAATGCAGCGAGAGATCTGTGACTGGCAACCAAAATTCATCATTTTTCTTGATTGATTTTTTTATCTCAGTGCATCATCCTGCCTAATAACTGATCTATCAAATCCAATTGTCACCTAAAGTGAATTGTACTTTGAGCCTCAATGATGCCCATTACCCTAAAAGCCTTCTATCATGTCATAGGCAACAAACGCATGGCTTCAGAAGGTATCTGGTAATCTTCCTTATGCCGAGACTTTGCAAGATCACCTCAGTGGCCTCAAGGAGTTAAACCTCCAGCAAATGGGATTGCCAGACTTCCACATCCCAGAAAACCTCTTCTTAAAAAGGTAAAGAAAAATAAAATCAAGCAAAGTACATGGAAGATTTCACTTAACATGATTTTGGACTTTTTTAAATCTAAAATGTTTAAGGGAGATAATAGAAACCTTTTAAAGACATTAATACCTGTAGTATAAACAGCAGGCACTTTTGCATAAAGTAAGAATGTGAATGCCAACCCAGTCTGGAGAACCCTAAGAGAGTTGAGATTTTGGTACTTTCACTGTAAGTTATTTTATTCACTACAACCTGAATCTGAAAGCCATTCAGCTTTTTTCTGTTATAAGTAAACACCCACATTTTTGTTCTAGATCAGGATATGCTCACCATTTTTCGTGAAGAATTCAAAAATAGCTGGAGGATTATTGAGCACAGCCTTGCTGTTTGCTAGGGAGGATCAGAACGGCCATTGAACAATGAATAAAGAAGCATTCTAAGAGAAGCTTTCAGTTTAGCAACATAACCTAATTAATCCTCACAGGGAAGGGAAGTCAGATTCCAACTGCTTGGTCTATTTCTGTGTTTATAAAACTACATGTAATGTTTCGATTGCTTAATTTCATGAAAATAAAAACCAGAGCATGAGCTGGAAAGATTATAGGCCTTTCTAGGTTGACTGCTCTCAGTATCGTCCTCAGGGTTAAGAAGACAAGTGGCCTGTGTCACATGGGCTTTTCTGAGGTCCATGGCTGAGCTGCAAAGTTGAACAGAGCAGATAATTGTGAAAGGGCTTATGTCTGCCAAAACAGGCATCTAGGCAAAACCTATCAAACTTAAGAGAAAAGGAGGCAGCTCCTGAGGACCCAGGGACCTTTCTTCGCTACGTTGTTTCTGACCAACAGTCTTCTCTGCTATTCTGAAAAGACAGAGCTGCAGAACTTTAGAATCAGACAGGGTCAAGTGTTCTCAGTCACCCTCCCATTGGTTGTCAGCATCCTGGCAAGGCGGCACCCAGCCCGTTAGAATGAAGTAATGAGCAGTTTGTTTATCACAGTTAAATACTATGGTCCTGCCTTTCTCTTTTCTCTGTAAGTTACCATCATGGTCCCTTGTATGTGTATAATATTGAAAAGATTGCAAAGTGATTTGAGGTATTTTTTCACATTTGACATCCAAGGCCAGCTCTGTGAGGTCAGCAGAAAGGATGCTATTATCCCTGTGAGGTAGATAGCATCACTGAAACCCAGAGAGGGTTTTCACTTAGAGAAGATCACCAATTAATGGAAAAACTAAAGCTGTCATCCAAGTTCACTGTATGCCACACCTCTGTGCTTTCCACACACCCTGTTACCTCAGTCAGTTTACAAAGATGCATCAGGTGTCCCCTGCGTGCAAAACCCCAAACTATTGGGTTGTTGGAAAAGTCATGATGTATTTTTGCATAGAAAAATATGTCATGGCTTTTCTAATGACACAATAGGTAAGGCAAAACCTATCAAACTTAAGAGAAAAGGAGGCAGCTCCTGAGGACCCAGGGACCTTTCTTCGCTACGTTGTTTCTGACCAACAGTCTTCTCTGCTATTCTGAAAAGACAGAGCTGCAGAACTTTAGAATCAGACAGGGTCAAGTGTTCTCAGTCACCCTCCCATTGGTTGTCAGCATCCTGGCAAGGCGGCACCCAGCCCGTTAGAATGAAGTAATGAGCAGTTTGTTTATCACAGTTAAATACTATGGTCCTGCCTTTCTCTTTTCTCTGTAAGTTACCATCATGGTCCCTTGTATGTGTATAATATTGAAAAGATTGCAAAGTGATTTGAGGTATTTTTTCACATTTGACATCCAAGGCCAGCTCTGTGAGGTCAGCAGAAAGGATGCTATTATCCCTGTGAGGTAGATAGCATCACTGAAACCCAGAGAGGGTTTTCACTTAGAGAAGATCACCAATTAATGGAAAAACTAAAGCTGTCATCCAAGTTCACTGTATGCCACACCTCTGTGCTTTCCACACACCCTGTTACCTCAGTCAGTTTACAAAGATGCATCAGGTGTCCCCTGCGTGCAAAACCCCAAACTATTGGGTTGTTGGAAAAGTCATGATGTATTTTTGCATAGAAAAATATGTCATGGCTTTTCTAATGACACAATAGGTATAGCTAGAAGACAGTAACTGCGTAATGTTTAGTCCTTTCTCCCAGGAAGACATCATGGAGTCACCAGCCAATAAACAATCACAAATTACTTAAGCAGAATTATTGCATGTTCTTTTAGTTACATGTAAGAGAGTATAGGAGCAAGAGAAATTAACTATGACTTTAATGGAGTGGTAATGGTGAGAAGTGGCTCTTAGGAGGCTTTTGAAAGGGTTTGAGTGCTTTGCAGGTGGAGGTCAAAGCAGAAGGGTTCCAGGCATTGGGAGGATCAAGAGTTGGTTTGGGAATGGGGCACATGCAATATTTCTTGGAAAGTCAGAGGGTAGAGAACCTCAAAATCTTCAGACTATGGGAATATTGTCTTTGTTGTTCATTGCAGTGATGGCCGGGTCAAATATACTTTGAACAAGAACAGTGTGAAGATTGAGATTCCTTTGCCTTTTGGTGGCAAATCCTCCAAAGATCTAAAGATGTTTGAGACTCTTCAGACACCAGCCCTCAACTTCAAATCTGTGGGACTCTACCTACCATCTCGAGAGTTCCAAGTCCCCACTTTCACAATTCCCAAGTTCTACCAACTGCGAGTGCCTCTCTTGGGTGTTCTAGACCTCTCCACAAATGTCTACAGCAACCTGTACAACTGGTCTGCCTCCTACACTGGTGGCAACACCAGCACAGACCACTTTAGCCTTCAAGCTCAATACCACATGAAGGCTGACTCTGTGGTGGACCTGCTTTCCTATAATGTACAAGGTGAGTTCTCAGATAAAAGGTACACAGGACTAATTCATTGCAGGCTCTGATAGAAAATTTTCCTCTAGGGGAAAAAGGGCTTAGGCTTTCTTATAGATTTTTCCTTGCTATATAAAAGTCTCTTCACTCATTCAACTAATAGCAATATTTATTAAATGTATAATATATACATATTAAATAGTCTACTAGGCAGTAACCAAAAAAAGCAGGCAGGTAAATCAGTATTTATAATTCCAGGTGTTTAAGTGTAAGGTACAATGGAAGTACTTGATAGAGAACCCACCAAGGTCTGCGGTGGTCAAGGAAGGCTTCCTAGAGGAATGCCTTTTGCTATCAGATTTTATATCTTCATTATAGTTGGAGGAAACTAGTGTCCAACTGACACAGACACATGGGACTTTAGTATTGAAACCCTTTCAATGTAAAGATTGTTCTGGAAATGTATTGCTTAATTTAATTGATTTCTTTCATTTTTATATTAGGATCTGGAGAAACAACATATGACCACAGGAACACATTTACATTGTCATGTGATGGATCTCTACACCACAAATTTTTAGATTCAAATATCAAATTCAGCCACGTGGAAAGAGTTGGAAACAACCCTGCTTCAAAAGGCTTACTGACCTTTGATGCATCTAGTGCCTGGGGACCACAGATGTCGGCTTCAGTTCATCTGGACTCAAAAAAGAAACAGCATTTGTATGTCAAAGAGGTCAAGGTTGATGGACAGTTCAGAGCCTCTTCGTTCTATGCCGAAGGCACATATGATCTGTCTTATCAAAGAGATACTGCCACTGGCCAACTAAGTGGAGAGTCCAACCTGAGGTTTAATTCCTCCTACCTCCAGGGCACCAACCAGGTAATAGGAAGATATGAAGATGGAACCCTTTCCCTCACCTCCACCTCTGATCTGCAAAGGGGCATCTTTAAAAACACTGCTTCCTTGAAATATGAGAACTATGAGCTGACTCTGAAATCTGATACCAACGGAATGTATGAGGACTTTGCCACTTCAAACAAGGTGGATCTGACCTTCTCTAAGCAAAATGCATTGCTCCGTTCTGAGTATCAGGCCAATTACAAATCATTGAGGCTCTTCACCTTGCTTTCTGGATCACTAAATTCCCATGGCCTTGAATTAAATGCTGTCATCTTGGGCACTGACAGAGTTAACAGTGGTGCTCACAAGGCAACACTAAGAATTGTCCAAAGTGGAATATCCACCAGCGCAACAACCAACTTGAAGTATAGTCCCCTGTTGCTAGAGAATGAGCTGAATGCAGAGCTTGGCCTCTCTGGGGCATCTTTGAAATCAACCACAAATGGCCGATTCAAGGAACACAATGCAAAATTTAGTCTAGATGGAAAAGCCACTCTCTCAGAGGTATCATTGGGAAGTGCTTATCAGGCCATGATTCTGGGTGTCGACAGCAAAAACATCCTTGACTTCAAAATCAACCAGGAAGGACTTAGGTTGTCAAACGACATAATGGGATCATACGCAGATATGAAACTTGACTACACAAACAGTCTGGCCATTGCAGGTCTATCATTGGACTTCTCTTCGAAACTTGACAACATCTACAGCTCTGACCAGTTTTATAAGCAAAATTTTAATTTGCAGCTACGGCCGTTTTCTCTCATCACTACCTTAAACAGTGACCTGAAATACAATGCTTTGGATCTGACCAATAGTGGAAAGTTACGGCTTGAACCCCTGAAGCTGAATGTGGGTGGGAACCTGAAAGGAGCCTACCAAAACAATGAAATAAAACACATCTACACCATTTCTTATGCTGACCTGTCAGCTAGTTATAAAGCTGACACTATAGCTAAGGTTCAAGGTGTGGAGTTTAGCCACCGACTCAGTACAAACATTGCCGGGCTGGCTTCAACCATTGACATCAGTACAAACTGTAATTCAGACTCGCTGCATTTCAGCAATGTTTTCCGTTCTGTGATGGCACCATTTACCATGACCATTGATGCACATACAAATGGCAATGGGAAGCTGGTTCTTTGGGGAGAACACACAGGGCAGTTGTATAGCAAATTCCTGTTGAAAGCAGAACCTCTGGCCTTTACTTTCTCTCATGATTACAAAGGATCCACCAGTCACCATCTCATGTCCAGGGAAAGCATCAGTACAACTCTTGATCACAAAGCCAAAGCCCTGCTTACTCCAGCTGAGCAGACAGGCACATGGAAACTCAAGACCCAATTGAACAACAATGAATACAGCCAGGACTTTGATGCTTACAACACCAAAGACAAAATTGGTGTGGAGCTGAACGGACGAGTCCTGGCTGACCTCACTCTGCTAGACTACCCAATTAACGTACCATTTTTACACCATGAGCCCATCAATGTCATTGATACTTTAGAGCTGAGAGATGCTATCAGCAAGCCCCAAGAATTCACAGTGGTTGCTGTTGTAATGTATGATAAGAACCAAGATGTTCACACCATCAACCTTCCATTCTTCCAAACTCTGCCAGAATATTTTGAGAGAAATCGAATGGTAATTATAACTTCTCTGGAAACCATACAGAAAGAACTGAAACGTATCAATATTGATCAGTTTGTGGAGAAATACAAAACGGCCCTGGGCAAATTCCCACAGCAAGTTAATGATTATCTGAAAACACTGAATTGGGAGAGACAAGTTACAAGTGCCAAGGAGAAACTAATTACTTTGGCCAAAAAATACAGAATTACAGAAAATGATCTACAAATTGCATTAGATCGTGCCAAAGTCAATTTTAATGAAAAAATATCTCAACTACAGACATATGTGATACAATTTGATCAGTATATTAAAGATAATTATGATATCCATGATTTTAAAACAGCTGTTGCTAAGATTATTGACCAAATCATTGAAAAATTAAAAATTCTCGATGAACGTTATCATATTCGTGTAAATGTAGTAAGAATAATCCATGATATACATTTGTTTATTGAAAACATTGATTTTAATAAACTTGGAACTAGTACTGCATCTTGGGTTCAAAACGTAGATACTAAGTATCAAATCAAAATCCAGATACAAGAAAAACTGCAGCAACTCAAGACACAGATTCAGAATATAGACATTCAGCACTTTGCAGAAAAGTTAAAACAGCAAGTCGAGGCTATCGATGTCAGAGTGCTTTTAGATCGCTTGAGAACTACAATTCCATTTCAAAGAATACAGGACATTATCGAGTCTGTCAAACATTTCGTTACAAGTCAGATTGAAGGTTTTGAAGTAACTGAGAAAATCAGTGCTTTCGGAGACTTCTTCCACAAAGTCATTAAGACATATGAAATAGACCAACAGATCCAAATGTTGATGAATAAATTTGTACAGTTGACCCACCGAAACAAATTGAAGGAAACTGTTCAGAAGCTAACCATTGTCCTACAACGAATTGAGATAAAATACTACTTTGAGAAACTCGTGGGGTTTATTGATGATGCTATCGAGCAGCTTAAAGCATCATCTTTTAAAAATTTTATTGAAGAAGTAAACAAATTCCTTGACACGTTGGTACAAAAACTAAAGTCATTTGATTACCACCAGTTTGTAGATGAAACCAACACCAAAATCCGTGAGATAACTCAGAGACTCAATGATGAAATTCAGGCTCTGAGACTACCACAGAAAGTTGAAGCTCTAAAACTATCTATAGAAGACATCAAGGAGGTAGTCAAAACCTGTCTGGAATACCTAGAGGACACCGAACTAACTTTTCTTGTCAGTTGGTTACATGATGTTTCAAGTTCAGCATCTTTGGTTCAAATGAAAGCCAAATTCCTAGACACCCTAGAAGACACACGAGACCGAATGTATCAAATGGACATTCAACATGAACTTGAAAGATACCTGTCTCTGATAGGCCAGGTTTATAGCACACTTGTCACCTATATTTCTGACTGGTGGAGTCTTGCTGCTAAGAACCTTACTGACTTTGCCGAGCAGTATTCTATCCAAGAGTGGGCTGAAAATGTGAAAACATTGGTAGAACAAGGGTTTACTGTTCCTGAAATCCAGACCATTCTCGGAACCATGCCTGCCTTTGAAGTCAGTCTTCGTGCTCTTCAGGAAGCTACCTTCCAGACTCCTGTCTTCATAGTCCCCCTGACAGATCTGAGGATTCCATCAGTCCAGATAAACTTTAAAGAGTTGAAGGATATAAAAATCCCATCCAAGTTTTCCACACCAGCATTTACTATCCTCAATACCTTGCACATTCCTTCTTTTACTGTTGATTTAGTAGAAATAAAAATAAAGATCATCAGAACCATTGACCAAATGCTAAACAGTGAACTGCAGTGGCCACTTCCAGAAGTGAATCTGAGGGACCTGAAGATGGAGGACACCCTTCTTGCTAGAATCACTATGCCAGATTTCCATTTACCTGAAATCACAATTCCAGAATATATAATCCCAAATCTAGACCTTAAAGATTTTCAAGTGCCTGACATTTACATACCAGAATTCCAGCTTCCCCACATCTCACATACAATCGAAGTCCCTACTTTTGGCAAGCTGTATACCATTTTGAAAATTCAATCTCCCCTTTTCACATTAGATGCAAAAGCTGACATACAGAATGTAACTACTTCAGTGAACAAAGCAGAGATGACTGCTACCATCACTGCCAAAGGAGAGTCCAAGTTGGAAGTTCTCAATTTTGATTTTCAAGCTAATGCTCAACTCTCAGACCCTCAGGCTGATCCACTGGTTCTGAAGGAATCCATGAAGTTCTCGAGCAAGTACCTGAGAACAGAGCAAAAGAGTGAGATGCTATTTTTGGAAAATGCTATTGAGGGGAAATCAGATGCAGTGGCAAGTTTACACACAGAAAAGAATACAGTGGAGCTGAGTCATAGTGTGATCGTCAGGGTAAACAATCAGCTCACCCTGGACAGCAACACAAAGTACGTCCACAAATTGAACATCCCAAAACTGGACATCTCCAGTCAGGCTGACCTGCGCAATGAAATCAAGGCATTGTTGAAAACCAGACATATAGCATGGACTTCTTCTGGAACAGGATCATGGAAATGGGCCTGCCCCAAATTCTCAGATGAGGGAACACATGAGTCGCAAGTTAGCTTCACTGTGGAAGGACCCATCACTTCCTTTGGATTGTCTAATAAGATCAATAGCAAACACCTGAGGGTAAATCAAAACTTGGCTTATGAATCTGGCTTCTTCAACTTTTCTAAATTTGAAATTCAGTCACAAGTCGAATCCCAGCATGTGGGTCGCAGCGTTCTAACTGCAAAAGGCACCACCCTGCTTAGAGAAGGAAAGGCAGAAATAACTGGCAACCATGATGCTCATTTAAATGGAAAAGTGATTGGAACTTTGAGAAATTCTCTCTTCTTTTCAGCACAGCCATTTGAGATTACTGCATCCACAAATAATGAGGGGAATTTGAAAGTTAGTTTTCCATTAAAGTTGACAGGGAAAATAGACTTCCTGAATAACTATGCACTGTTTTTGAGTCCTAGTGCCCAGCAAGCAAGTTGGCAAGCAAGTGCCAGGTTCAATCAGTACAAGTACAGTCAAAATTTCTCTGCTGGAAACAATGAGAACAGCATCAAGGCCCACATAGGAATGAATGGAGAGGCCAACCTGGATTTCTTAAACATCCCTTTAACAATTCCTGAAATGAATCTACCTTATACAACACTTACAACTCCCCCACTGAAAGATTTCTCCTTATGGGAAAAAACAGGCTTGAAGGAGTTCTTGAAAACAACCAAGCAATCATTTGATTTAAATATAAGGGCTCAGTATAAGAAAAACAAAGACAAGAATCCCATCGTAGTTCCACTGGGTGTGTTTTATGAGTTTGTTGACTCCTTTGACAGGCATTTTGAGAAAGTCAGAAAGAATGCATTAGACTTTCTCATCAAATCTTATAATGAGGCCAAAGTTAAGTTTGATAAGTACAAAGCTGAAAAATCCCTCAACGAGCTCCCCAGGACCTTTCAGATTCCTGGGTACACTATTCCTGTTGTCAATGTCGAAGTGTCTTCATTCACAGTAGAGATGTTGGCATTCAGCCATGTAATCCCCAAAGCAATCAGCACTCCTGGTGTCACCATCTTGGGTGGCTTCTCTGTGCCTTCATACAGGTTAGAGCTAGAGCTGCCCAACCTTCGTGTCCCTACAAATCTTTTTAAGCTTTCTCTTCCAGATTTCAAGAAATTAAGTGCTGTAGACAATATTTTCATTCCAGCCATGGGCAACATTACTTATGATTTTTCCTTTAAATCAAGTGTCATCACGCTCAATACCAATGCTGGACTTTATAACCAATCAGATATTGTTGCACATTTCCTTTCATCCTCTTCATCCGTCATTGATGCACTGCAATACAAATTAGAGGGCACCTCAAGTCTGACAAGAAAAAGAGGGCTGAAGTTAGCCGCAGCTCTGTCTCTGAGTAACAAATTTGTGGAAGGCAGTCATGACAGTACCATTAGCTTAACCAAGAAAAACATGGAAGCATCAGTGACAACAACTGCAAAAGTCCAAGTTCCCATTTTGAGAATGAATTTCAAGCAAGAACTTAATGGAAATATGAAATCAAAACCAACAGTCTTGTCAACCATTGAATTAAAGTATGATTTCAACTCCCCAAAGCTGCATTTTATTGCTAAAGGGGCAGTTGACCACAAGCTCAGTTTAGAAAGCCTCACCTCTTACTTTTCCATTGAGTCCTCTACCAAAGGAGATGTCAAGGGTTCGGTCCTTTCACTAGGATATTCAGGAACTATTGTCAATGAGGCCAGCACTTACTTGAATTCCAAGGGTACTCGGTCTTCAGTGAGGCTGCAAGCAACTTCCAATGTTGATGAAATCTGGAACTTGGAAGTAAAAAAAAGTTTTGCTGGAGAAGTCACTCTCCAGCGCATCTATGCCATTTGGGAATGCAATACAAAAAACCGCTTACTGCTAATGGGCCTCTTTTTCTCAGAAGGAGAACAGGCAAGCAAAGCCACTCTTGAATTTGCCCCATGGGAAATGTTAGCCATTGCTCAGGCTCGAGTAAGACAGCGCAATCCTCTTCTTGATATTTCTGACTTTGTCCTGGAAGTGGGCCTGAATGCTAACACAAAGAACCAGAAGGTCAACTGGAAAAGTCAAGTCGAGTTTCAGCAAAAGTCCCTCCAGAACAGTATACAACTTTCCAATGACAAAGAAGAGCTACGCCTTGATGTTGCAGGATCCTTAAAAGGACACCTATGGTTCCTTAAAAATATCATCCTACCAGTTTATGATAAGAGTTTATGGGATCTCCTAAAACTGGATTTAACCACTGACATTGACAGGAGACACACTCTTCATGCTTCAACTGCCCTTGTGTATACCAAAAACCCCAATGGCTATCCCTTCTCTGTCCCTGTGCAAGAATTGGCTGATACATTCCTTATCCCTGGGCTGAAGCAAAATGGTCTAAATTCAGTTTTTGTCACACCTACCTTTCAAGTACCATTTACAGATCTTCAAATTCCATCCTACAAACTTGACCTCAGTGAAATAAAAGTCTATAAGAAGCTAAGTACCTTACCATTTGCCATCAACCTACCAACACTACCCAAAATAAAATTCCCTAAAATCGATGTGTTAACAAAATATTCTGAACCAGAAGACTCCTCAGTTCCCTTCTTTGAGATAACCGTGCCTACATCTCAGTTAATTGTGGCCCAGTTGACGCTTCCAAAACGTGTTTCAGTTGGCAGTGCTGTTTTGGATCTAAATGAGGTAACCCACATGATTGCAGACTTTGAGTTGCCTACCATCGCCATACCTGAACAGACCATTGAGATCCCTTCCATTACATTCTCTATACCTGCTGGAATTGTCATCCCTTCCTTTGGAGCACTGACTGCACATTTGGAGGTGTCTTCTCCAGCATATAATACCACTTGGAGTGCTGGTTTGAAAAATAATGCAGATCATATTGAAACATTCCTGGATTCCACATGCAACTCAACCATACAGTTCCTGGAATATAAACTAAATGGTAAGAAAATGTCCTGACTCCTCTACTCAATGATCTGTTTTCAATATACATTATAAATGAAACAATTATGTATTTATATGACTAGAAGCACAATTACTCACTATTGCAAGATTTAAAGGGAGAAGGAGATACATATACTCCACACAGGATGATCAAAATATAGAAAATCTGACACTCAAATGAAATGAGTTCAAAGAAAATACAGATTTTTCTGTAATTATTTTATGACTAATCATATCTTCTATTTGCATCTTCTAATGCATGCACATTGCCTGTTTTAGGAATATAGGTAAAATATTTGATTAAGATAGTATTTCCCTGGTTTTCACAATGAAAATGTCTACCTTCTATAGTTACTAATCTAATGAAATATATATCTTTTCTATACAGTTGTGGGAACACACAAAATTGAAGATGGCATGTTAGTCTGTAAGAACAAAGGAACACTTGTACACCAGGACTTCAGTGCAGAATATAAAGAAGATGGCAAATATAAAGGACTTGAGTATGGAGCTCTTATTAATCCCTTTTCAAAATGCTTTATAATTTTTGCCATCTCCATGCCCCTTCCATAATGGCTCATCTTTTCTTCTCTCAGGACCTGGGAAGGAGAGGCTCACCTTGACATCACCAGCCAAGTGTTCACTGATGTCCACCTGCACTACCAAGAAGACGAAAAAAGGATCCTCTCCTCAGCAAGCTCCCCAACCATCGGCACTGTGGGCATGGACTTGGAAGATGACAATGATTTTTTTAAATGGGACTTCTACTATCACCCCCAGGTGAGCCCCATCTAATGGGTTACACACCCTCAAAAGTGGCCAGATAAATTTAATTCCAAACAGGGTGTTCTCTCAGAGGTTTCCTAATGGATGACAGTCAGATGGTGAGCAGGTTCAGAAACTTCTCCACACAGTAATAACAATAAGTTTTTATTGAATTCAATGATTAGACGAAAATATGTCATATTAGCACTGTTATTTTACTATACCTAAATATGAGCAAACTCTGCTGTATTTAGAGTATATTTGTTCAAATAGATATCTGGTATATCTGAGGCTTCAAAATTCTTCCCCAAAATAATATTGTACAATGAGGTCTGTGAAACCCTTCTCGTGCCATTTACAAGTTCTGCCAGGGTCAAATCACAGATGCTATTACCTAGTCCAGCCCAATAGCCTTGTGGTTAAGGGATCCAGACCCCACATGTCTGACCATGGTTCAAATCCTGGCCTCCACAGCTTAAAAAATATGCTAGGCTCCTATGTATGTGTACCAAAATTCCAACAGGATGGAGCAGTGGAGAAGGGATTGTAGAGTGGCCCATGCCCAATTGGGAAGTGCTTTCTCCCTCTGTCTCTGTCTGTCTCTGGTGAGCATATGCACCCTCTAGCAATTAAAAAAGAAACAAGAAAAAAAGCTTCCATTATCCAAAGAGAAGACCTACTCTTGTTCTGTTACTAAAGTCTGTTTTAGGCTTGGAGAATGAGCACTGACATGAGAACTCTGGATCTCTGCTGGGTGGGCTCTGGACATTTTCCTCTTTTGCTATTTGTCTTTTCCTGTCCTTTTCTCACCTTTCTCCTCTACTTCCTTTTCCTTTTTCTTTTCCTCCTCCTTTTCCACTTTCAGTCCTAGGGAAACCTTATGTTAAGTGTTACTGTGTAAATGTCAACATATTTTTTAGCCTCTCTGGGACATGTGATAAACAGGAATTAACAACAGTGAACTTGTTTAACCATAAAACAAACACATGAACTGATATATGAAAGATAAATCTCCTTCAGAATATATGAAAGATTCTCTGATCTTTTTAATTGCTAATGAAGTTTTAACATAGTACATTATGCAATCAGAGTAATTGAAAACATGTTCTTTTCATCTTTTTTTTAATCTTTTTTTTTTTTTTTTTTTTTTTTTTTGCTGGCTTTAGTCCTCTCCGGATAAAAAACTCAGCATAATCAAAACTGAATTGAGGCTCCAGGAATCTAATGATGAAATTCAGATCAAAGTTAACTGGGAAGAAGAAGCTGTTTCTGGATTGCTAAGCTCCCTGAAAGACAGTGTGCCCAAGGCCACAGGGACCCTTTATGATTATGTGGACAAGTACCACCGGGAACACACGGGACTTAATCTGAGAGATGTTCCTTCAAAACTAAGAAGAAGTCTGCAGAACAATGCTGAGTGGGCCTATCAAGGGGCTATGAGGCGAATTGATGAGATGGAAGTGGAGCTCCAGAGAGCAGCCAGTGGTACCACTAGAATCTATGAGGAGTGGAAAAATAAGGCCCAGAATCTGTACCAGGAAATGTTGGCTCAAGAAGGCCAAGACAGTTACCAGAGATTCAAGGATAAGGTGTTTGACAGCTTAATACAAGTTACTCAAGAATACCATAAGATAATCAAGCGTATGATTGAGTCATTCTTTGATTTCCTGAAGCACACCAGATTCCATCTCCTGGGGAAATCTGGGAACTACACTGCCGAAGAACTCAGCAATGTGGCTAGAAGTGAAGTAGGGAAGGCAATGATCCACATCTGTTCAAATATCCGTGTTGGGTCAGGAACATTGTTTTCTTATTTTCAATACCTAGGGAATAAATCTGAATTAATCAATAACCTAACAATTAAATATCCCTTTCATTCATATGACTATAAACTAATGGATATAATCCAGGAGTCTAGTAGACTGTTGGACTCTCTATTACAAGAAGTCGAAAGTGCCCTTGATTACTTTCGATCTCTCGAGACTACAGAGCTGTTAAGTGATATTCAGAATGTTTTACAATCAAGTTTCGACGAGATAGAAGAACAACTTATACACTTAAAGGAGGGGAAACGTACTTACCTTATTACTGCTATCCAATCTGAGATCAATTCAACTGTCTATTATTATATTCCATATGCTTCTGAATTCCTAAAAGGAAACATATACCTTTACCTTGATAAGTTCAATGAACTTGTTGAGAACAAACTTCACGAAGCTTCTGAAGGACTACAGCAAATGCATCAGTACATAAAGGCTCTTCGTGAAGAATATTTTGATCCAAGTGTAGTAGGCTGGTCAGTGAAATATTATGAACTTGAAGAAAAAATTGTCAACCTGATCAAGAGCCTAGTAGTTGCCCTCAAGGACTTCCATTCCAAATACATGGGCAGTGCTACTGGCTTTGCTTCCCAATTATCCAGTCAGGTTGTGCAGTTTGTGTACAGGGATATCCAGGAATATAGTAGCATCCTTGTTGATGTAGATGGGAAAGGGAAGAGAAGATTGCAGAGCTTTCTACTACTGCTCAGGAAATAATTAAAAGTTGGGCTATTAGAATGAAGAAAATCATTTCTGATTACCACCAGCAGTTCAAATACAAGCTGCAGGATGTTTCAGACCAACTCTGTGATTACTATGAAAAATTTATTGCCGAGTCCAAAAGATTGATTGACCTGTCCATTCAGAACTACCACATGTTTCTAAGCTATATCACTGAGTTACTAAAAGAACTGCAATCAGCCACAGTCCATGACAAGAACCTCTACATACAGCTTACTCCAGGAGAACTTACTATGATCTTCTAATTTTTTTTAAAGCAATTCTCAATATTATTCTGTTCCAGTTAAACTTTTACACAGTAGGAAAAAATTCAAACTGCATGCATTAAGAAAACCATGCATTGAGCCAGCAGAGAGCTGACCAGAACCGAAGCACATCTGAACTGGACCTACATAAAGCTGCCCTCAGAACTCTCACAGGTTTGGCCCCAGGGAGATGACATTTTTTTGCAAGTCAACAAAAATCAGAATCAGTTATTTTGCTAAATGTGGGGGTATGGGGAATAAATAAATGGATTCCTTATTGTGTACCATACCGTTCCATTTGGCTCATTCATACTGAAAGACAGTGAAGTGAAGATATTTATGCAAATGATCTGGCATTTCAAAACCACTGAAAGAACATATCATGCATGATTTAAGTGATAGAATGAGAAAAGAAGGGAGAATTTGTGAAGGAAAATATTTTGCCACCTATAATAGAGGTAGTTGATTACATTTGTCAAATGAGAAGGAAAAATGCTTCACAAAGGTCTCCTGTAATTTGATTCTGAGGAGCACCTGATTTGTCCTGTGTTCATACCCCACTGTCCTGGGTCCCCACTGTCCAGTCTGCATTTGTCGGGCACTGTTGTCTGTGGGGCTTTGAGACAAACCAATAGAACCTTTATTTTATACAGCTGGGCAGCAGTGGAGGCTGGATGGCTAGGGAGTCCTATCCCCAAGGGCTTCCTGGCAGTAGGAAACTGAGATGTCTCCTTGCTGCCTTGCCAGGATTCACTCAAGGAAAAGGAACTATGGGGAAAGAAGAATAGGGACATGAATTCCTAATATTTCTGTGACTGAGCATGTATTTTTGCTCTTGAACTTCCTTATTTTCCAAAATGTAAAATCTAACAACTCTTAAGAGTAATCAAAACCCACTTCAAACTCCTGGCTTTCAACATAGGCAACACCTAGTCTCAGCCTTCAAACTGATCTCTATTATGGGAAAGCTGCACAGAATCTGAGTAACAACTTTAACTGCTATCACTGAGAAGGGTAGCTATAAAATGGCACGTTTCTTTCGATGGCATTGGAGAACAAAGGAAGAGTGTAACCTTTGGGGAATAAAAAAATGGAGTGTGGGGGCCAGGAGGTGGCGTAGTAGTTAAGGTGCTGTACTCCCACATAGCCAACCATGGTATGAGTCCCAGACCCAAAGACTTGAAACTCACACCAGGTGCATGTACGTGTATGCCCAAAATCCCAAGAGGAGAATGGAGAAGAAGGGATTATGGCATGGCCATCTCCCCTCGGGGGTGATTTCTCACTTTCTCTGTCTCTCTAATGAGTGCACACAGTCTATAACAAACATCTCTCTAAAAAAAAAAAAATAGAGCATGACCTTTGGGGAATAAAATTTAGATGGCTTTGCTGTCCACATCCTACATGAAGTCTGTTTTGAAAAGAGGTTTTCTATTCCTAAAGATCTTCAATTTCCACCATTCTTTCATAAAACCTTCTATTATCTTGCTAAAGCCCACTATAAAAATGCATAAGCATTACCTGAAAAATGAAACACATAGGGCCAGCTCGTGGCATGGTGGTTAAGGCAGCTGGATACTACACGGCCCACTGCATAGTTTGAGTCCTGGACCCAGAGGCTTGAAAAAACATGCTGGGTGCATGTACATATGCACCTAAAATCCCAAACAGAAGGAGAGATGGAGGAGAAGAAATTTCAGTGTGATCATTCCCCATGGGGGGTGATTTCTCATTTTCCCTTTCTCTCTCTGGCTCTCTGGTGAGTTCATGCACCCTCTGGAAAAATTTAAATTATGTATATGTAGAGAGAGCACCTATTGTTGTCTTCACAGGATTCTTCTGTCTAGAACTAAAAATCTAGAAAGACTATAGGGAGGTGGACTGCATGGTGGTACATGGATCTGGGACTGAAGGGAACTTAGATGAGTTAGATGAGTTGGATGGATGGACAGATGAATGATTGAGCAGAAATATAGAGGGTTCGGTTCTGAAGTTGTGAGGAGGGGAGAAATTAGAAGCAGCAAAAATCTACTGAATGTTTGAACTAAAAGGAGGCCTGAATGGAGGAAATATAATCATAAATTCAAAATGCTCTTGCAAAGACCCAGAGCCCCTTGCCCAGCTCCCTGACCGGGATTCATCTTCTATTCCTCATGTAAGATGCCTGTAACTGCCTTTAAAGGTCTTCATTGTGCTGAATATAGGTGGAAGAAGGGCTCCTTGGGAAAGGTTGGACTTTGCTTTCTCCTCTCTTTGGCCTACTGCATATCAGAGTGAATTACTGGATACATTCCTTATTTGCTTGTAGTTTGGGGAACATATTTTCCCTCTGTGAGCTTCAATGCTCTTACCTATAAAATGGGGATAATATCTGAAAACCCATTGAAATAACAGGTGCGAAATATTTTTTCAACCTTTAGTGTTATGTCTAAACAAAGTATCATTTTTTTATAATTATTTTATCTAACTTTATTTATTCTTATTTATTTATTTAAATTTGACCAGAGGGACAGAGTGAAAGAGAAAGACAGAGAGAGAGGGAAAGTGAAGGAACAAACTGCCAGGTCCAGGACTCAATCCACGCTCAGCCATGTGGGAGTCCAGTGCCCTTAACCACCACACCACTTGCCAGCCCCCAAAGTATCATTATTAGATGATTTTTTTAATGAACTCATGGCAAGGAGAGAAAATGGAAATGCAGAGACCTATCCCGTTCAATGCATGCTTGTTAAACACCTCTATGTGCTAAGCTCTCTGCAGACTCTCTAGAGAAGAGGAAGAGCAATAAAATGCAGTTGTTGGATATCTGTCTATCAATGGTGGAATGTGTTGTCTCTTGAGTGTAAATAAAGAACTATGAGTATTTAAAACAGAAGATTGTGGATCAGGAAGTTTTAATAGAAAAGATTAAAATAGATCTTGAAGATACACAGACTTTGATAAGTAAGAAATTACTGTCTAGGAAGAGAAGATACATGAGCAAAGAAAGGTAGGTGAGACACCATATGTTCAGGACACTGGATTGTCTAGTTAGGCTAGAACACAGGACCATGAAAGGGAGACAGGATTGGAAAAGCAGGTTTGGTGGTATGGCAGAGGGCTTGAAAACTGGAGTGAAAAGTGGTACTCTCTTTGTTGAGGAAGGGCATCAAATGAGAGTTTTTGTGCAGGAAGGTGACTGAGTTGTGGTTTAGGAAAGCCAGTATGGTAATATGCAGAAGGAATTGTAATGGGATGAATCTGTATATGAGGCTGTCCCAGGATCCAGGGAGAAGATGAAGAACACCTCAGTCCAGGCAGAGATGTTAAGAATGGTGAGGAGAGAGAATAAAAGTTTCATCATGGGGACCAGCAGATGGCATAATGGTTATATCACTGGACTCCCATGTGATCAACCACATGGGCCTAGTGGCTTGAAATTCATGCCAGGTGGATGTGTGTGAATCCCCAAAATCCCACGAGGAGAATGGAGAAGGGATTGAGGTGTAGCCATCCCTCCTGGGGAATGATTTCTTGCTTTATGTCTCTCTGACTCTGTCTCTCTGGCGAACACACATGCCCTATAGCAAAAATCTCTTTTAAAAAAAAAGTTGCATTGGGACCAACAGTTAGCATAATGGCTATGTTGCTGGACTCCCATGTAGTTGACTGCAGTTCACGTCCCGGACCTGGTGGCTTAAAACTCACGCTGAGCGTGTGTGCATGCATGCCCAAGATCCCGAGAGGAGAATGGAAGAGAAGGGATTACGGCATGGTCATCCCTCCGGGGGGTGATTTCTCACTTTCTGTCTCTCTGTCTCTGTCTGTCTGGTGAGTGCATGCACCCTATAGCAAAAACTTCTCAAAAAAAAAAAAAAAGTTGCATCAAGATGGGAAGATTCACAAAATTTGGTGTCTGACTGTTTAAAACACAAAGGATGAACACAAAAGCTATTAGAAATGGAATTGCCTCTACAAGAGGCAATGGGAAGAGCTAGGAAGAATGGGTAAAGCCAACTTCAGAGTTAGTGACATTTGGACTGTGTGAGCTGAAGAACTGTGAGGGATCCATAGAAGCAGGAGGAATGTATTTCAATTTGCAGGGGTGTGTCCAAGCAGAAATACTGAGCAGGCAAATTGGAAATGTGGGCTAGAGAAGAAATATCTGAGAAACAGATGAGAACTTTAACCAATTATTGTATAATTTTGTGTCCTTGTATCTTCAGAAATTTAGTAAGAAAACAGTTCTTCCTCTTGTACAATTAACAGCCTATCATCCACTAAGAGTCATCGTGTGCATCTCCTGTATTGCAAGGTAACATGGAATGTCCTCCTATAAATACAGATACTCCTTCTATAAAACAAATACCCAAATAAGCAAAGTTTAAAAACCAAAGAAGACAAATAATGATGCCCATCCCAAGACCCTGGGACTTTGGAAGTATGATCGAGCTGTGTATTTGACTTCGACTCCCAGGTCCCCCCCCAGCTAGTGGTGGTGTCCCCAGGATTGAACCTTATTATAAACAGATCTGTGGAAAGTGAGCACCATCAGGTGTCTTTGATGCTGTCTCCTTTTTCTGCTTTTTACTTGAAAGCTGGTCAGCCGAGGAACTCGTTGCCCTCTTTTTTTGGTGAGATAAGCAAAACTCCCCTCTTACTTCTTATTCTAGTTCCCCTTCTGGCTCTAATTTATGGCTTAGTCCCCATTCAGTCAGAGCTGGCCTTCCAGTGGGGCCGGCAATATGGGAGCCAGAGTGGACAAACAGATGTTCCCTCTAAAAGTGTCTAATAACTAGAGATAAATGTGCAGAAACAGACCCTACCTCTTAGCTCATCTCCTGTATGCTGTTTCACATTAAGAGGTCAGCTACAACTCCCTTCAGAGTGTTCCACTTTTGGTGGGATGGCTGGGTGGTCACCAACACGTAACATTCCAGAGTCTCATAAAAGCTGGTAGAGTAGGTACACATGTTTCCACAAGGAGAGGGTTCTCCCCTTCTGCTCATGCTTCCCCTAGTCTGAGCAGTGCTTTAGGTCAGTGATGCCCAGGGTACTAGGGACTAAGCTCTGACCCTTGTGTCAATTTTTACCTGGTGGACTGACACCACTGAGGCCCAGTCTTGGGATGAGAGGAGTGACTTAGGCTTTGGAGGGGGCCAGGACCTGCAGACCTGTGTCCCCACCCTTGGTTTTAGCTATGGCTTGGGCTGTCAACTGTGAAGCATGACCCCCAAGCGCACTGAGCAAAGGCCTCTAGAATTTAGATTGTACACTAGACAGTGATTAGAGAAAAGGGAGGCTCGGC